CCCCGCCCCCCCCCCCACACACACATCCACCCTATTGGTTACTACTATGTCAGATCGTGTTCTGAAGAGTATTTCACGAATAATGAATACACTACACCCCAAGTGGCCACGGGACTACTAATCTAACTCTCTACATGTTTCAAACCCTGATTATCAGTCATATATATTTCACACACGTCTGATACCAGACTGTGTGCTAAACAAATCGTGGCACGTTCTATGATTTGCATGTGGGCGGAATACTGTCAGGTTTCCCAGGTCAAGGCAGGTGAATTTTCTTGGGGAATCCACAACCACAGCCTTTGGGGCGGTATCAGTCAGATGTTATTTTGTCCACAATCAGCTGATCGTTCTCTATGGAACTGGACTGATGGTCACTGTCAAATGTGACCGCATACCGAAAACAACGGAGATACTTACCCCCCCCCCATAGACTGACTGTATGAGACGAACTCACCGGATATCTATCTCACAAGGTTGATTCCTACGTTTCTTCCGGCTAGAATCAGGCCGATGAATATAATACTCCATCCAGCTCAGATATCCCCAAAGATTGTATTTTTACGGTTTGATGTTCCACAACGTTTCTGATCCACTGAGCTGTAAATTATTCTCACTCTCCAATGTTTTCCACCGTGCTAAACTCTTTTCTGTCCTCGTTGATGATAAATATGTTAATGTTTTTCCTGCTGTTTTTTTTCAATTCTTGTTGCAATGGCCCCGCAGAGAACGAGCAGAAGTTGAAGCGGCCTATAGCACTCTAAACGTGGAAGCCCAAAGACGTGCGACAGAGACGGCCAGTGTTCAGCGCACAGTGGATGCCCTGATTCACACTGCTCGCAGCCTGGTCAATCAGCGTAATGAGGCCGAACGACGTCTGAACGATTACGCGCACGAGCGAGACACTTTGGCAAGCATTTTGCACGAATTAAAAGGTCACGTGGCCTCGGAACGTCAGAAAGTGGAAGAGATGCGTGGCCAAATCAGTAGTCAACAAGTCTCTGCCAAGGTATGCTCTCTTTTTCGGCTGTTCCCTCTTGACATTTGTTCGTTTGGTCAATCTGTGAGAATTGTCGAATCCTCTCCACCCCCGTGATTACACCATCCATCCCATCCCATCCCACTGCTCCTCTCCTAGCCTTGTCCATGAAAATCCTCCTGTCCGTCAACCGAACGGTGTCTTAACCTGTCATTTTTGTATGTTTTTATATTGAGCACCGGATCGGGTTAAAGCATAATGCTGACGCGACAATGATGTAGCTGGGAATGCAGGGGACGGGATAGGAGAGAGAGAGGGTAAGTATTGGGGGGTGCAGATGAGAGAAATGAAACTAAGAATAAACAGATTACGGGGAACAACCGGAACAAGAATAATCCAACCACACAGAAGGAATTCGTCTTGTATAGAACAAATGAAGCGTTCACTGAAAAGCTAGGAGGCAATGTACAGCTGTTTCGATCTGGTTGGGTTTCATCGGCAACGTGAACCCATCGTTCCGAATGAGGATCGCGAACCCGCGGGATCTCACAGGTAGAATGCAAGCATGCTACTCACGCGGTCACTCCGAGGCAGTTGATCAGACCATTTCTCGTTTGTCATCTATACGGTATAGCACAACCCGTCTCTGCGGGCATTGCGCTTCGCTCGTTCATCTCTGCACTGGCCTCCGGGATTATGACTCGGTTGGAAATTTTCACAACCTGATTACTTGTTAAATGAGGGTATAGTAGGATTTGATTCAATTTCATGGAAGGAATTCGTCGCATACAGATCAAAGAAGCGTGAAGCGAAAAGCTGTACAGCTAGTTGTTTCGATATGATTGGGTCTCATCAACAGTGCGAATCTATCAAAACAATCCATGGACTCCAACTTCTTGATCGAATTTCTGAATATGGTCCGTCTGTGTGTGTGTTTCGGTATTTATTCTGTCCTGTTAGTCTTTTACGGATTTTTCTCCTATATTTGTGTATGTGGGCGGTCAGTGTGAGTGAATTCAGTAATAGCTTTTTATCCATCCGAATAGTTCAAACGTCGATCTGTTGCCAGCGTTGCGCTTTGCACCTTCGAAATGCAAAGTGTGTCGGTGGTTGCATTGAAGAGATCGAGTGGTTCACATTGAAGNTGCTGCGTAAATATAGCAGCACACCACCACCTCGTGTAGAACGATCACGCCTCAGCAGCGTCATTCCGGGTAGGTGCAATTCCGAATCGAGAAAATCGGCAGTCAACCAAGTTTCGGTAATGGCAACAATGATCCCACTGACCAGTTTGTAAGCGCATTTGAACCTCAGGGAATTTGCTAAGGGAGCCTTGTTCGTTTGTGTAAAAACAAGCCAAGGAGCGTCTGTTTAGGAACCCGCTGGGTTTCGAATCGTTGTTTATGCCGACCACTCTGCGGTCGGCTAGCAGTAGCCTTTTTTGGAATCGGTTCTGTTGCTGTAAACTCCTGAAGAATTAGAGGGAAGTGGAGTTTGGTTTTCTAACTGTGGACATCGTTTTACCTCACTATTCAATCGTGTTCTGAGGCGTAATTCTGGTGGTTCTCCTCTTCTGTTATGATACCATGCCTGCAAGACTGATGTGACCATTTCCGGGATACTGAGGGTTACTTTCATAATCCTCGGACTGTTTCCACGGTAGTTTGCTGAACACGGAATTCGGCTGACTGAGGTAGTGAAAATATTGTGGCATCCAATCAACTGCTAAATTAACCTCCGCTCTGGGTGTGTAAAGATGCGTGATAGTCTCTAATTCACACGGATTCAGTCGCTATCGTTCGACTTCGTTTCAAATTTACCATCACCATAGTGGTTTAGTCGCTGTCACCAACGTGTTTAGGATCTTATAATCCGAGTTTCGAGCCCCACCAAGCATGCATGCATGCGTGCATGTGAGTGTATGTGCCAAAAAGATGCCATCGATATTTGGATTGTCACATCCGGTTGGTGGCCTTACTTACTTAGTTCACTTTACGGCGGCTGGCTCTTTGGAGAGGATAAGCCAGCTTCATGGATATCCCGAATTGTCGCTGCCCACGCTCGGCGATCCGCGGCAAGATCAGCGCAGCTTACGATCCAGCTTGACTTCCATTGGCGAAGACCGTAGGCGGAGCGGAGAATAAGGTTTTCAGCATCCTTTCGTACCGTGTCCAGCCAGGTTTTCAACTGTCCACCGTGTCGACAGCGCCAGTTCTGGCAGTGAAGCGGTGCCAAGACAGCTTTGGTCAGGTCATTGTCAGACTTACGAAGAATGTGACCAAACCATTGAAGACGACGCCGTTGTATCAGTATCGGCAGCCATACAAGGTTAAAACACCGCTGCTTCATTTGAGAGTTGATCCCTCCATCGTACTTCCAAAGTGATTGTTAAGTACCAGTGATCGAAGACTTCTAATCGGCGACAGTCTTCGACTCTAAGTGGCCAGGTTTCGCAGCCGTATAGCAAGACAAGATGGACTGCTGCGGCCATTTTTGTCTTGAGGCTGGTTTCATTTTTATGCCAAAGGGGATTGTTCATCTGCAAAAACACCTTTATTGCAGCATCGACGCGCACTTGCACCTCGTTATTAGCTTGGCCGTTGGGGAGTATCATTAAGCTCAAGTATTTGAAGCTTTCGATCGGCTCGCCGTTTAGTAGTAAAGCATTTTCGGGATGAATCGGGACTGTGGCAAAGGTTTTGGTTTTTGATGTGTTCACCTCTAGGCCGATGTTGGAGGCCTGTCGACTGACGCAGTCAACGAATACTTGATTGCCTCCGGATCCCAGTTCCTCTGATCCATGCATGGGGCCCCTATACCCACGCAATTATTGTTCTCACTATCCATGTTCCGGAACGCAATAAAATAATTTGCCCCCAAGAGCAAAAGTACGCTGTCAATTTATCTCCCGTCCCGATTCTCTAATCTATAATGGCACTATAGTCTACGCCCCAGTTACATGAACCTAGTCACGCGAATGACCGGTTTTGT